AAGTGATGAAAAAGTGTAATATCTTTAAATATGAAACTTAATATTGCTTTTTATTCTCAAGTCCTAAGTGAAAAATACATGGTTGCTATGTTTAATGATGAAGAAGGGATCATTTGACCCATGGAATCATGTCCTTCAATCACAAACCATTAAATCAAGCTGGGATAACTATCCATATTGCCAAATCAAAAAGGTTTTACCCAAGGCTGAAATAATTGCATGTTATTTCGAAAAGCCTTGTGTTTTATCCTTTATCAAATGGAATCCTTCCACCAAAACGAACTTGTGTGGCCCCAGCCCCTAATTTGAGCAACTCAAATGCCTGAACATATAAATTGCAGGGTAATTGTTACTTTCAAAAGAAGTTGGTTAAGACAATGTAAATGGTCATGAGTTCCTGCTTGGAATAAGAATTTAGGCTTTTTTTTTTGTGCTGATTAAGACGACTTACAAAGTGAATTAGGACGATTTTACTGACCAATCACTGCCTATGTGGTGATTGTGAAAGGTGGTCTTTCTCCATGTTCTTTGAGTTCAAACAGGAGAAATGCTATACGTGTCTTTCATGGTGGAAGACCTTAAAAAAGTCTAACAAAGTAACAGTATTGCATGGATTATAAATGAATGAATTTCTAGCTGACTTACTAAGAAGATCAAACTGATTTTGCAGTATGGCTGATTCTTGTTTAAATAGCAAGTGCTGGTGTACTGTAATTACTCTGATAGTCTATCTAAAGAAATGGAAGTACTCTAAAAAATTTGGAGTGTACTTCTTATTTATCAAGTAATTGTTTGAATTCTAGCTTGTCTTTAGCTTTTCCCTACCAGTCATAATAGGAATAAGTGTTTCAATAGCATGGATATGGTTCCTATTAGGGAAAGTATAGTGATGTATAGGCTGATGTTCATTGCAATGTTGATGTTTCCTACAATTTTCCTGTTTCACACAAGTTCTGCAATTTGGCGCATGACTAGATTTTGGGGAGTGAATTTCATGCCGCTCTGCTTGGCTAAATGGAGTTTCTACTTAGCTGTCTAGTTATTTTGTTGTACTGGAATTTCTGTCTGATATGAAATGTTTTAAGTTTCTGTTGCATGGTTAATAGTTAATGCAAATGTGAAATTCTTTCTGAATTCCAAACTTACTTCTATGATTGTATGGTTATCGCTTGGACAACTATCAGGATGCACATTTGCTAGAAGTTAATTCTTCCCTCGAACCGCAATCCACAACTGCTCAAAATTTGATTACCAGAAAAGCAGGTGGAAAGAAGGAAGCAGAAAAAGAAATGCGGGTATTTGAATGCTTTTGCAATAGATAGTAATCCAAATAGATAAAGACTAGTAATTTTGGTAATTTGTCCAGGTCATAGTGGACATGAGGGAGTTTATGAGCAGCCTCCCAAATGTACTCCACCAGAAAGGTATGCGCATCATTCCAGTGACCTTGGAAGTTGGAGATTACATACTTTCCCCATTGATATGTGTAGAACGGAAGAGTATACAAGATCTTTTCGGCAGTTTTTCATCTGGCCGTCTATATCACCAAGTGGAAATGATGTCACGCTATTATCGGATACCAGTTCTCCTTATCGAGTTTTCACAAGATAAAAGCTTTTCATTCCTGGTATGATGTAATACCTGAATTCACTTTTATTGCTAGGAAGTGCATTTTAATGTTTCCTCAATTGAACTACTTAATATCTATGCAGTCTGTAAGCGATATTGGGGATGATGTTTCACCAAATAGCATAATATCCAAACTGTCCTTGCTTGTTCTCCATTTTCCTCGTCTGCGTATTCTCTGGTCTCGCAGCTTGCATGCTACTGCAGAAATTTTCGCTACTCTTAAAGCAAACCAAGATGAACCCGATGAGGCAAGGGCAATTAGAGTTGGTGTCCCATCAGAAGAGGGTATTGTTGAAAATGATGTTAGGTAATATATATACTGCTCTCATAATCCTGGTATCAATGTGTTATTCCTTTGATAGCCAAAAGTCAAATAAAGTTGGTTAATAAATTTTAAGACCCAATGGGTTATTATGTATTGTCGGAGAATTAATGGTATATATAATGTCATGAGGCTTGATCAAGTGGCAGAGGTGTGGTTTGGAATGTTAATTTTGACACATTTTTGACACTTGGCTTACTTTTTTCATGTAGAGCGGAAAATTTCAACACGTCTGCTGTGGAGTTTCTAAGGCGCCTGCCAGGTGTGACAGATTCCAACTACAAGTCGATTATGGATGAGTGTAAAAGCTTGGCCGAACTTGCCCTCCTTCCAGTCGAGAGGCTGGCAGAAGTAATGGGGGGTCAAAAAGCTGCAAAAACCTTGAGAGACTTTCTTGATGCCAAGTATCCAACCTTGCTTTAGGAGTTGGGACAGAGCGAGTTCTCTTTGCTCATCCAACAACTCCCATAATTTATCCCTTAGCTTGTCCTTGGATGTTTGTCGAACAGGAATAAATGTTGTTGCCCATGCCATTTGGTAGATCACTTGTAACCTTCAATTTACTTCTTTGTTACTTGTATTTGGAAGCTCCATATTGGAGCTCTATGTTGTCTGTAGTTTCTCAAGTGTAATTTTATTGGTATACTCGCCAATGAACCCACACATGGTAATAAATGATTTTTCTCCGATTTGGACTTCGAATTGCAGGGTTCTTTTGTTTTAATGCATGTTAGCACGTAACTGGTCTTGTATCTGTGCTCACTTACAACCAGCATCCTTGGTTTGCTGCCACTGTGGGCTGTGGTATCCAATGACTAAAAATCAATTGGCATTTTTTAGGTCACTAGTATGTAAAACGTTCGTAGCACTTGATTATGTAACAATGTAGTAACATAGCGATAAACATATTTTGATTTGATTAGGTCATTGTCTATGATAGTTTCATGATTGCTTTTGATGTGTTGTTTGGCAACAGATCATATTTCGAGTGTGAATTGTTTAATAGTAGAGGGTTGTATTGACCACTGCTCTTAAAACACACACACACACACAAAAAAAAAAAAAATTATAATTAAGATGAAAAATTAGCCGTTATTGTTGACTTTTATTAGATGAGTGAGACCCAATAACGGCTATATTTTCAATTTTAATTGAATTTTTAGTATTATCAAACAAGCTCGAAATTTCAGTAATGGTCTTGAACTCTGGAAATATTAGCAAGTTGATCCTCAACTAAAGAAAGAGAGCAAACTCATCCCCATCCTATTGAAATAGGTGTACAACTAGTCCTAATGAACAATTTTCATCAAATTTTCTGTTGAATGCTCACATATTCAAACTAATGTGGAGCCTACTTTACATTTTTTCATTAAAAGAAAAAGAAAAAGAAAAGTGTTGACCTAGAAATTTGTACTTCTAACATGACAATAGATCTTAAGGCTTCTCGTGTCCATGTAAGCCTATTCTTGCACACTAAGATAAACTGATAGCTACACATGACTTTCTCCAGTGGTGGCGATAGCAGTCATGTGCACTCCGTCAGTTGACAATACTAGTATTTGCATGTGGGGGTTGCTTTAGAAGCGAGCCTCTTATGTAGAAAAGGGATTCTACTTTGGGAGGGTATATGAGAAATGTAGAGAAAGCAAAGTTATAGTTTAAGAGTCTAAATTTGTATTACATTGAAATGACACAAAGTGTAAGCTTTTATAGCAAAAGGGGATAAGTAAGAACCGTTAGATACGAAGACAGATGGCCTCATCCATATGACCAAGGCATCTTTTAAGGGACGCCAATTAATCAAGTGCATTTAATGTTATGACCTTTTTTCAGCCTTAAACCTGACTCGTAGAGTTTAGATTTGACTTGTTGACTTGATAAAGTGGCTATAACAATGGGTTGTCATATCAATAATTCGTTGAAGATTCTGTCTAAAAGATCCTCTACAGTACAGGAGCTCCTATCGGCCACGCTTCGTCCAAGGGCTTCAACCTTCCACATGGGGTTGGTTCCTGCAAATGGGTTTGGCCTTTCCATAGGAGTTTGGCTTTCCCACATGGGGTTCAATCAATGGGTTCAAGTTTACTTGCTACACAACTGTCACTTGGTTGTACATATCTTGCTGGAAGAGTTGTAATAAAAAGAAAAACTCAGGGCCCAAATTCATAGTTTTATGACGAGATGAAAACCACCAGACCCGTTCTTATTTCCATGTCAAACCCCCTCTAATCTAGGGATGGCAAAAAAAATTCGTCAAACTCGATGTTTGTGGGTCCTCACCCTGAACAAGGCGGGAATTACCGGTTTAATCGGATATTCAGGTTGGGTATGGGGCGGGTACGGATAACGAGTGCCCCGTCCCGTTTAAATTTTTTTCAAGAATTCAATACTTTAAATGAAAATTCCTACAAAATTTTATTAGTTTTAATAGAAGATAGCAACTAAGATTATCTAAAAAATATGACAAATAATAAAATCTTAATTTATCAAATATATTTGAGTAATTTAACTTTTAAAAATAAAAAAAAAAATTAAAAATATATTATTGTCTCACTCCAATGAAGTGAATGGATGCAATCAAATGAATTATCAAAAATTTAAATCTTATACTATATTAAAGAAGGATAGCTGCAGAAACAGTATTTCCGCCCATAATTCTGGCCTCCATCCCGACCAAGATAAAAAAAAAAAATTATGTTTCTTGATACCGCCCAGATTTTTTGAATTGAATACCGCCCAAAATTTTGAATTCAATCCCGCCCAACCAAAAGCTTACTCCTTGATGTAAGCATCATAAGCTGGAAAAATGCACAGCCCGCTATAAAAAAAGAAAAGCTAAATCTACCGATCTCCTCCCTCAGCGACTCTAACCTCTTTGTCTCCAAACTCTGCCCAGACATTTTTATTGAACCGTTGCATAGACGACAGTGGTGGTGTGTGTGGCTGGGTTAATGGAGTACATAGAAGTGGTGGGTAAGGGTGTTCTTCCCCCAAGTCAGCATGTTATCCCTCATTGCATACTTACAGAATTTGAACTTGATGAACGAAGATGAGATGTCGCCCTATTCTCTTTCATACTGATGGTCCTAATGTCGGTGGTCAGGTAAGCTTGATGAACGAAGATGAGATATCTGTTTTGGTATGTGATTTTTGAATATTGGATGATATTATTTAAATCCATTACCATTAACAAATCACTCCATTAGAATTTATTATTGCAAATGATTACTTCGCAACACAGATTTCCACCGAGGACTCAACCTGCAACATTAAACAAGGCACAACGAAAGGTATGAATTTTTAAATTAAAGGCAAAACTCCGAGACATCGTCGACGTCTCCGTCCACGGAGGCATCGGCCTCCGTACGATCCTCCGCGTGCGGAGGCGTGCAGAGGCACCATGCTAGTGCCTCAGCTGTGAGGAAATGATTCTTCCGCGTGCGGAGGCAGCAGCCACCGTAATCTGAGGACCAGATCTTCGCGTGGCCTCCGCAAGCGGGGGACCCAGACCTCCACGTGTGGAGGCAGCAGCCTCCGCACACGGAGAACCCAGACCTCCGCGTGGCACTCTAGCCTTCGCACGCGGAGGATCTGGTTCCTCCGTTTGCGAAGGCACACCAGCCTCCGCACTCGAAGGATTTGGCCTCCGCACACGGAGGCTGGTGGCTGGTGCCTCAGCACGCGGAGGCACCAGAATGGTACCTCAGCATAGCCTCCACACGCGGAAGAACCATTCCTCCGCGTATGGAGGAACCATTCCTGATTTCTGATTCTGATAAGCTATTACTTTAGGTCGTCAGATTCTGATATTTTTGAATTTTTGTGGGGGGTTTTACTGATTTTGCCAGAGCAAGTATAATGTTGACGAAGCTTCATTAGATAAAAGGCAAAAGGTTGGAAGCACAAAAATGCCGCCCAGCATTGGTACAAGACCTCTAACTCGACAAGCCTTTTCAATGGTTAATGGGGGTCATGATCAGCCTCCGACAAGTGGCCCGCCAAGCGTTGCTGGCTCGGATTGTGGTGTAATTGAGCTCACCAAAGAGGATATTGTGGCATTACTGAGTGAGAAGTTCAAAATTAAGAATAAATATAACTATAAGGTAAGTCAAACATGTTATTTTTTTGGTAATAAGTTGAGCTTTGAGTTTGGCTATTTGAATTGTTTACTTTTGTTTGAATTTTGATATTGCTGTTTCAGGAAATATTTGAACAAAGGTTTGAGTACATAAAAAAGCTTAAGCAATGTATCAAATGGTTCTTACGGCTTGAGGGAAATTATATTACAGAGCAGAAGAAACTGAATAATTTGTTGGAAATGGTAGAGAAGCAATTCAATGAAATGGTATGATTGGTTTTCATTTATGTTTATAGAGACACAGTGTTTCTTGCTTTGTTGGCATTGAAAAAGAAAAGAAATTTGAAGAATTGCTAACTTGTGCCGATCCTTTTATGTTTCTCTCAGAGTCTCTGATGAAGGCTAAGGAAGAAGACCTGAATTCCATTATAATGGAGTTGAGAAAGAATCTGGATGCACTACAAGAGAAGTTTACAAAGGAGGAATCAAATAAATTAGTAAGAAGCACATTGACTTGTCAAATGTTGGTATGCAGTTTCTGGAAGCTACTTTGTTGAGTATTTCTGGAGAATTAAACTGTTGAATATGAATTATCAGGACGCATTAGATTCAATGGCAAGAGAAAAAGATTCTAGAGTGGCTTTGGAGAGGCTGCAAGTCTCTCTATCGGAAGAGCTCAAGAGAACACAACAAGACAACGCAAGTTCAAACCAAAAGGTAAGTGGAGAAGATATGTTTGTGAAAATATTTCAGAGTGTACTTTCACAAAATTAGTTTATTGACTCTCTTGCTCGAATAGCCGATAAAAGGACGTGCGGAGGAGTATGGGAAATGAAAGTAGTTAGTTGTTGAACAAGTCATTTGTTGAACGAGTTATTTGTATTGTGTTCATTTTGTATTTGCTATCGAAGAATGACATTGTATTGATATC